TGCACGATGTGCGCAATGATGTATGTCCGGAAGAAATACAAGTTGTTACCACCGGACATTGTCATTATATATCCACCATCAGCATCGTGTATAAAAGGGCATCACTGAGCGAGGATGCCTCATTCGAGAAGATGGCTCACTGAGGAGGACCTGACTCGACACGAAGGCGAAACTGCATCGTCGAGACGAACAACAAGCATGGACCATCGACTCGGATCACCGGCTCTGAGGAAGACGAAGACGTCGAAACGTTAGCCGAAAATAAATATATTTATCAACCTCGTGCAAGCTTATCAAGAAAGAATACATATCTATAGCTGTTGTTCATTGAATCGGCGAGATAAATAGCTTTTAAAACCCCCAGAAATAAAATCGGAGGGTCGCCACGATAATGACGAATAGCGCAAGAATGGTGTCAGCTCGAGAACTACTATTCCTCAGCGACTTGGGCCCCAATTTCGAGCCTCGTCAACAGATCTATTTTAAAAGATTTCTTTTGGTAAAGAGTTTAACAAGCTGCTCCAATTAAACAATTCTTATTAGAACGGTTCTAGCAGTACGAAACTGTGAAGAACACCTTGAGGAAAGTAAACCGCCATTTTCGCATTCCGTTCTCTGCTGCTGATCCAGGCTTGCCAATTTCCACTATCGTATTCATGTCTAGATCACTACTGGGCTAAAATATCATCGATTTTCCTTACATAAGGAAATTCAAATTCAGCAATATCATGCCACCGTCGGCGGATGCAGGTTTTAGTCTTGTTGCATACTAGGTAACAATCGAAACGGTGAACGTGGAGAAGATGCTAAAGCAGCTCTAATACTCGTCGTTGAATCTTCAATAGGTAGAACACAGTTTACATGTTGTACTTATTCTCGGGAAAGCATCCAAAAAGACCCAAATTTGTCAAATCATGAACAAGAAAATGAAAAAAAAAATCATGAACAAATCATGAACTGATCAATTATTCTTCATTGTTGCAAAAAACCGTCAATTTAAGACACGATTTCTTCCATGCTTTGAGTTTTACGAGCAACACTCGTCTCATTATCGGATTCTTTTTCGACATTTGTCTTCAGCTGGTTAACGCTCTGCTAGTAAATTTCATCTGATCAGAGATACATTTCTCGACTGACATGGTGTTGTTTTCGTCGTCAACTATGTCTCAGCAAATATGAGAAAATGATAAAAGTGATTAATTGAGAATGAACTCGTAAAAACTTCAATTCTATTCCAGTTTCGTGGTTTTCCGATCTTTATGGCGTCAGTACATTTTTTCCATTCGCCATTATTTTTTTGTAAACATTAGATGGTGTACTAATTAAATGTCAGTCAAAACGGGTTTGCAAACACTTTTGCTCTCATTCGTTCGTTTTTCTTTCGTATTGACGCTTTGAATGGGGATGTGGATAACACTTAAACACTACGAATCAATCTGAGTTCTTCAAAGTCCATAAGATGGTGCGGAGTGGATTGAGTGAGGTCGAAATTGGGCCGACTCGTGTGTAAAATGTAGGTTAGTGAAAGAAAGTCGAACATGGCCCGCGATCAGCGAAGCGTCCACACTGCTATCGTCAGCGGTTTCTCGATCGTCTTTATGACCATTAACAAAAGCTTCCTAAGAAACCAATTCATTCGAAGAGGTATTTCTCTTATTCTCAGTATTTGATAACCATTGTCGTGTTCAGTAATAGGAAATGGCGATCGCCATAAAAAATGCTGACGAGCCGCAAACGCCGTCTAACCTAATGAGATCGAGAAAATTCGAGCTATAAATTCATCTTCATCGCGAAACCAACGCTCGTATGACAGATTACACTTATTGCACTAAGCAAAAAATGGTCTTTTATAATGTCTTTCTTCCATCGTCCGTGTCCTATTTTCGATCTATTCGTTTAGGCTCATTCAGTAGTCGGATATGTTGACCGGCTTGCTCCGGTATTACATATACCTGATACTGATAACTCATAACAGATGCTCTGTGCCTGAGAAGAACTGTTTAGCTGGTTTATGTTACAATCGAACAAGTTATTCTGATAGTATCAATGTTCTACGTATGAAGCGTGGTATGTCGAATTGTTAACTAAAATCAATTTTTATTTTTTATCTTTCCTTTATTAAATTTGTTGTTTTACAGCACCATCGGCAGCGTGTTCACCAACGTCGAATGATTTCACGCATTCACTTTTGAACAACCTCTGTTGCGATCCGATGATACCACTTTTCGTCGATAAGCAGCTCAGTACCAATGATGGCATTGGAGCGATTTCTCGAGTAATACATTAAAAAATCTTTTCATGTATACGTACAGAATCGGTTGAATTATGTGAATCCTATGTTTTTCATCAATAAGCAGACACGAGGTTGTTAATATAGATGTGAATCCTAATGATATGATGTCAAAGTAATCATCTTCTATTCCGAAATTTTCTTCGATTAAGTAGGCTTCATTATTGTTATCGCTTATTACTAAGAGCAGCATTTTTAATGATTTATTCGCTCAATTTAAACTAGCCGAAAGTGTTCAGGCTGTTCAGCAACGTATTCAAATGAGATATAACGCATCATTTGAAGTGATTATGTCTGAATCGGATTTCGTCGTCAAGACCTACTATAGTGGTCCACGTCAATGTAAATTCGAAACTGAGCGATACTTCGTTGCGTTATATCAAACTCCTGTACAGGTAAAAGTGTCGGGTACTAAGTTCCATCATGATCTATTTTTCATTGTTCTTTCGCTAGCGCTAATTAATCGTCGCTAGGAAATAACGGGTGTAGACAAGTCGGGCTGAAGTTTTTTTTATTTTTAGTTCTATTCGTCAGTTTTTTCTTTTCAGTACGATATATCTGATGTTGCAAACGAACTCGCTCTGGCCAGTGTCGATAGAGACGATCCCTTAGGATGGAAGCAGAGTCCTTTAGCCCAACTTGATGAATTTGTTGAAGAAGGTAGTTCATGTCATCAAGCTATTTGGTCCTTTGATTCAATATTGTAGCAAAAGTTATGGACTTGGTGAAACGACAACGTTGAATTCGATGTGGCATGGAAAGAAAATTTTTCGTTTTTGTTTTCCAAACCTTATTCTTGAATACTTACTTCAGATTGATACAAACATGCTTAAATGGGGTGCGTGTAGTGCAGTTGTCATAGGCGCCCAGCAATATACTTGGGACCGACCCCGCGCCGCAGGCACACCAAGCCCTCCATCGCTCTAGTGTCGGAAAATTGGAAGCAAACTTGTCTGGGGGGATAGCACTAGCCCGATACATCGGTAGGCCACCATGAGTAAAAATGGCGAGATACATGATGTAAAGGTTTGCGTGATGTAAACGCCAGATATGCATTCAATTAGCCTCAAGGATGCTTAATGAAGTCGGACGCATGGCGCATTGCACGGGATTGATCAACGTCAAATGCTTTATCCATTATCCTTCTATTTAGATAGATCGCTTTCGCATATCGTCGTCGCTCCAGTACTTTTTAGGTTGACTTCTTCAATTTACTTCTTTCTTTTTTGACTGTCAACTGGCAAATGATTGCGTTCTATGAGAGTGTGGTCGTCACTTTATGGTGTGTCCTTTTCTCCTGTCTTGTTAGGATACGCGAAAAAGTCCATTTCCGTCAAGCTCTCGAACAACCACAGGATTACTGAGATGTGAACAAAAGTCTTAAACCTAGATGAGCTTAGCTCCGGCTATAACCCTTACCGGAAGTACATGTGTTATCCATTGTAACAACCGAGACCCTCGCTTTGCTTTTCACTCAACCATTTTTTTTACTCTTTCGGTGCTATCAGCAACTACCAGTCAACGGGAATGATCTGGACAGTGCAAATCGGAATTGCAACTAGCTAAGGTGCTAAGGTGAAACTGGATGAAAAAAAGTAGGCAGCAAATAAAAGCCAAAACATTATGATATCGAATTCGGCTTCAGCTTAACTGAGTTCAATGAAATCACAATGATAACATTTTATTAGATGCCTACTATAATTTTTAATGGAAGGGTATGATGCAGAATGCAACCACTGCCGTTAAAAATTATAGCAGGCGGCAAATAAAAAGTTAGAATTGTGGTCAGGTGCAGCCTCAGCTTTAACTGGTTTCGATGCCAATTTAGGCTCCCCAAATCAATCCCGTTGGCGGATGATTCCTGATAGTAAACATAGGTCAGTAACACGGTTGAGGAAATGCGAAACGAAGGACCCGCATTGTGTGGTGCTGAGCGCATTAGCCCCTCGAAAGGGGGATGCTTTCGTTCTCCACCGTAGACACCTGCGGTCCGGAGTTTTGCAAATATCTCAGTATCCTTGTGGCTGAGCTCAATGTATTCAATCAATGAGCTCCCGAAAAGGTGATCGTGGATTCGACACCCTTCTGAAGCTCCGAGTTTTCCTGACATCTAAGCACGCTTGTGGTTCTAACTGACCTATCTTATTTCAGCCGCGTTTCCAGTGTAACCTATCTTTGGATTGTTTCATTCAAGCCAATCAATTTAAAGTGCTTAATACAGATTCTACTAAAGACGAGAAGAATAGCTCGTCTTTCTGTACAAATTGCTACATTTCTTTGAGTTGCTGTTCTTGTTTCTGTTTGATCGTGAGTTAGGTCGAGTTTATTTAGAAATGAGGTTTCGCAGACAAATGACTTCAAAGCAAGAAAAAGCCCTAAATTATGGAGTAAATTGTGGAGGCACCATACAGTTAGAAAGATTTCCACTACGCTCGGGATTTTTGACCTATAACGTGATGACGATAGTTTCAGTGTCACTTGATGAACAATTACCAGAAACAACTGATATTCAGCCATTGGGATCAACGGATGCCACGTGCTCATTGAGGCTTCAAGGTTGTCACTTTTTTAAAACATTTTCGGGAAAAGCCACTTGATATCCAGATCTACTCGGGTTGTGAAAATGGATCGATTTTCCCAGTTTCTTCTGAATTTCACACATCAACCACTTAAAAATTCGTCACATGTCGCGGGTGAACGAGTTTGTTTTCATCAATAGTAAGTAGCATTCTTCCGATCTTAAAACTTTCCTTTTTTATTTTAGTAGATTCTGACCAACCGTATTCTTTTTTGTCGAACGAGTGTTGTGATACTAACCTAAATAGCATTATGACGGATGCCGCTTCACTATCCAGAGACGCCGTTCATTTAGGAGATGCAGCTAAGGTATTCATAAGCTTCGAATTGAATTTTACCAACGTAAAAACAGAGTTCCTCGTTTTTTTTTTCTAGTACATCCAACGACGAATTCAACTTCGCTACGGGTCATCGTTTGAAGTTATCATGAGTAAATCTAACTTTGCTCTTTCTACATTTTATCACGGAAGCAATAGCTGCAAAATTCGAGACGATAAATATTATTATCTGGCATATGCCACGCCGGTACCGGTATGTTCAAACGCTCAACCCAGAAATAGGTTAAAAAAAATGAGTATAACCACTTCTTGTGTTGAAAATTTCAGTACGATCCGTTTGACATCGATCAAGAAGATTTGTTAGCCAGTATAGATTCAGAAGAACCGCTGGGATGTAAGGCTTGACTTTTACATTGATATGTTTCAGCATATTTTTTCTCGCTTTATTTCGTATAGCGGCAAAAAGTTTTCCATGGCATATAAAGAATAAAATACGATAGAATAAAAACCAATTGATGATTATGGCATTTATAGAATATAAAATCACTCATACTTTAGCAACTCGACGTGCAAATCTTCGAGGGGATTTTCCGGATTTTCGAATCGACCCAAGTGCCGGAGGTATAATAGGACACATCAAATTGTTTTGTCAATTAAAAGTGCTCAAATTCTATTCAGAACTCCTGAAATTAAAACTGGCACCAATGATAGTTGTAGGAGTTGTAGTACTCGCAGTAGTAGTGCTAACAGTACCTAGATTCACTTTTTTCCTGATAAGCAGACACGTTTGTTACAATAGTCATTCACAGCAGCTGATGTTTCGGCGGCCAGGAAAGCATTTTCTTCTAAATTTTCAGATATTGTTCTTTATAAGTCTTCAAGTTACTATTAGAGACCAGTCGCACGGAATCTCACAGGGGGGTGGGGGCTGCCTGACTCAAGTCAAAAAAAACCAGCCAGAGATATGTGCGCCAAGTAACGTGTGATCACAAGGAACTTCCCACTGTGGTTCGCTTTGGCTCTTTGGAATTCATCCAAAATGCTTTAGGAGTTTTACATGCTAATGTTGTACATTCCTGTAGGAAGGTAGTAACTTTTACTTCAAAATCTCCTCCGCTATGTTTATATGTCTTATGCACGCTAAGTGAAGTGTTCAGTTTCAATTTCGTTGATGTAGATCTGAACTTCGGATACCTTCCCTAACTTGCGTGACACGAGATAATCCTAGAAATAATCCATTCTACATTGTACTTTGCGTTCTATAACGTTAAGTGATCATTCAGCCTGCTTGCCAGCGATCTGGTTTCTGACGTTAAGGCAAGGAGAGTCGTGGAGTCGAAAGGTGGGCGCGGAGTCGAGTATTCTTGGTTCTCTTCCCTACATCCTCGATGTTCTTGAAAGCTCACCATCCCGCTCGTTTCCTCGTCCTCAAGCCTGGAGCCAAGTCTTTACATTTTCCTTCTATTATGTTGGTTTATGTCATGTGTCATGCTGGTTTCGTGACATGAATTGATTCCGTTAAGCGTGAATAGGACATGCCGAACCAATCCCTTTTTCTATGAACATTGTTTTTTTGAGTTAGTCGAAGGCCAATATTTTCACAGGTATTATGAAAGTTGGCAAGCATTTGTTTTCTTTGGCTAATGCTTGCTGTTATACAAACAATGTCATCAGCAAATATTTTCTGAGTGCAACACAAAATTGCATAATATGCTCAAACGATGAAGACGGCGATTGCATGAGTTCGCGTACGGTGTACCTTTTCTCTTATAAAGCGAATAAGTTGGCTAATCGGGTAGACCACTCTGCGTAGGTAGAAAACATTTCACCAAGCACACATAGGGCACGAAATATAGTACAAGGGAGATGGTCTTGAAGTAAAAGTAAGTAAGACTTCTTAATTTGCGATGGATTCTAGAAAGCCAAAGATGAACCGCGGCGGGGAGTTCCTTGTGAACATGAGTGACATCGCTCCCTATCTCAGGCTGATTTTTTGACCTGTCCGGCACATTCCTCACCCATGTAAGAATGTGTGCAGCTGATATCGAACATTTAGTGGGGAACCTATAAAGAACAAAATGGTGACCGTTGAAAAGAAGCTGGCTATTATGGGAATGAAAACTTTATGTATTAAATCTTGTCTATCAAAGTTATGAAAGTGTTTGGTTGAGTAGATCGCGTGTCAGTTCGAACTTTTCAAGCTCTGAAGAAAATGGAGCCGCCGAAATGACGGTTGTTATAAATAAATGAATATGCTCTTATATTCATATAGTGAATAATACGAATATGAATAAGTGCTCTAATAACAACCTCGTTCTTGTTCATTAACAAAACAGTGAATTATGAATCAATGTCGAGGTTAGTAGACAGTCGATCCTGGGATATTGTGATTAAACTATCTAAACTGTTTGAATAAATCTTTAACTCGTGATTTCACAGAAAAGCATGATTGCAGAAGATCTTTCTCTTCAGCCAAGTATTGCTCGGTCCCGCGCTCTTCTCTACGAAGGAGGTCAGGAATCGTTGCATTATACTTTGATGTAATTGTAGTTCTCTTCTTCGTTTTAAAAGAAATATGTTGCAGCGGGAGGTCCTGGAAGGACCTCGGAACGTGTTCAGAATCTTACAAAAGAACTCGTATTCTCCGAAGAGGAAGATAATCTGGCCATAGCCACAGTTATTGGAGAATTTCTTGTTGGAGGAAATCGAACTCGTGGCGGGGTGCATAGTCGAGAAGATCTCGATCTTCCACCTGGTACTCACTGTAATCATGAAGATCGTACCGGTTGGTCCTCAAACGTTCGATTTCCCATGTAAAATCCGTGTAAACCATTGTTTTAGAGAGAGGAGAGAAAGTAAATTTCAGGTGACAAGTGCTGTAGTAGCGCACTATTCGAGACGATGTCTGACGCACTTTATGAACTGAGCTCTTCACCTCAATTTAGTTTCACAAGCGTCGGAAATATCGCAAGTGTGAGATTAATGTCGCTTCTCAACAACTAGTGGTGGTTCTTTTCTGTTGATGTAAAGCACCAACGACGATGCTAGATTTACCGGTCATCATTTACTTTAACACGACTCTTCTACCAAAGTTTTGGTCATAACTGTTGGAAGTTGTAGTCACAAGTTTTTAAACCATATAATTTTTTTTAGTTGATCCAAAGACGTGTCCAACTTCGTTTTTATCAGTCCTTTGAAGTGATTGTCTCTACTGGAGACTTTGCCATCGCGTCGTATTCGTTTGGTGATCAGATATGCAAATACCGCGAACGTGGATTCACGGCCATCGCATATGCCACACCTATACAGGTCAGAGCACACAGAAATAACTACAGATGAACAATAAAAGGGCAAAAGATAAAACTTAGCGTTGATCAATCCCTGAGGGATGCGCCATGCATTCGACCTCATTAAGCATCGTTTGGAGATGATTGAATGCATATCTGATTATTACAACGACTCGCGGTGGCCTACCGATGTATCAAGCCGGTGCTACTATCCTTCCTGACAACTCTGGTACCAAGTTTCTGGCTCCAGAGGGGTGGAAGGTTTGGTGGGCCATGGGCACTGGGATCGACTTGACTTGTGTGTTGCAAGGCGCCTCCGACCACTGCCCCACACGTGCTCTGCAGATAGATGAACAATAGGCACCATAATGGACACTGTTCACCTCGCTGGCTGTCATGTTTGACTCAGTGTTTCAGATATGAAAAGCTTTCGTTGGTCATAGTTTCTTTTCTCAGACCTATCCAAGCAGCAAACTTTGAAACAGTCACACTTTGTACGTAATAACTGTGAGGATATCCAAAGTATCTCCAGTTAGTAGGAATTGGTACTAACTGCTACTGTTTTATGCTACTGAGGATAATTCGTTTTATAGGGAGAATCAATATCCACGTTCTTTATTGGTAAGCTTACACGAGGTTGTTAGAAGTAGATAATCGCCTCGGATCAACATCTCTGAATAAAACGAAGACTTCGAAACGTTAACCAAATAGTCTTGTAACGACCTCGCATAAGTTTATCAGTGAAGAAAGTAGATGTTGGTAAATCATGCGGAAGTTGAGCGACAGTAGGTTTTAAAAAGAAAACTTTAAGAAATTCACGAAGAAATTTTTTAGTACGACATTACCCAAACGGAGGCAGAAAATTATTACTCGACGATCTCAGCTCGTGACAATCTCGGGGCATCAGAGCCTTTTCTTCCTGATCAACGACCGTTCAATACTCCACTTGCGCTCTATTCTGCAGGACCACGAGTTGGACTACCAGTGGGGTCTCACTGCTTAAACGAAAGGGCAGGTAATCAAATTATCATTGGAAAAGAAGATAAATAGAGTAGTCTTTGAACCATAATGTGGCAAAATATTCTTATCACCAATTGCTGATTGGCAGTATTCTTAACACCCATATCTGTCGAAATCTGCCTTTGACATGATTTCCTCATCACTTATAAAGCCAGCACCGTCGGATTGGTTCTACAAAGAATAGTGCTACTGGGTAAAAGTCGGACTTCTGCAAAGAAATTGAAATTCAGGCTCTCGATAGAATTTAGTGTTCAACCTCTGACTTCCTCCTGTCAATCAGGACAACAGTGACGGCCAATCTCTGCCCTATTCTTATAATCGGTGCTGACATTGTTTAAGATACCGGTTCAAACACGTCGATGTTTCTCTTCATAAGATTTATGAATCTGCACACCACTTCTACACGGGATTTCTCAAGTAATTCAAAATCGACTGTGAACTTCAACCGCATCTGTTACATTTGCTGAGCTCGACTCTTTTCAGTGGTGCTCCGATAATTCGAAAACCACGGGCCCAACCAAGCCTTTCGATTACTAGTAATAATAATAGTTTCAATGTTGCTGAGATATTTGCAAAACCCCAGACCGCAGGTGTCTATGGTGAGGAACAAACCCGCTATTGTCCTTTCCTGGGAGTAACGTGTTCACCACCACACCATGCTGGTCCTTCGTTTCGCCTGTCTCTCAGCTAGTTCTATCGATCTCTGCCATAAGCAATCACTCGTCAACGGGATTGATCTGGGGAGCATATTTCGGCATTGAACCCAGTTAAGCTGAGGCTTTAGTTATAATCACAATCTTAACCGTTTTATTTACTGCCTATTCTTTTCAATGGCAGGGTATATTGCGAATAATAATAATAGTATTAGTACAATGGCAATAATAACAAGAATAATCTAACTAACTAGATAATAACAGCGGTATTTTTTGAATTCGTTCTAGCCACGAAGATAAAAGCTTGATTTTTTGTTCAGACTTATTTCACGTCCTACTTTTCTGGCTTAGTTTTTTAGTATAAATTTAACTCGATATGGAATAAAGTATCGTATAACGAACTATTTTCAATATCTGCGCTTACTATATATGCTTGGCATATAAGGTCACATACTCTTATTAGTTGTATATTTGTTATTTTTAGTTTCTTTTTCGAACCTGTTTAGCAACAGGTAAAATTCTTTTTCCGAAGAATCCTCTCCCTCTAGACTCCGTATCACCATGTTTTATAGAAGCAAGAAAAAGTGCTCGAGTTGATTTTAGGGTCAAAATGCTGTAGCGTTCCGCTATTCAATGCGATTTACTCAACTTACCAGTCGGTTATCAGTCAACCAGATTTTAATCCGCACGATAGACGGCTTATTGCAAGGGTGGGTCCTCTGCTCATTTGACTGTCGCTGTGTCGACGTCGACATCGATCTGAACACCATTTCAATAGTTCAGATGATCCAGTTCAATGCTGAGGACATTCTACAGATGAGTCTTGAAGTGTTCGTAGCCCGTGACGATTTTGCCGTTTCCAGTTCGTATTTAGGCAACAATATTTGCAAATTTCGTGTTGATCGCTATTACATTATGGTCTACGCAACACCTGTACAGGTCAGTGATAGCCGTATCCTCAGGTTCATGAGTGAATTAGACGAACTTATTTTCTTTTTCTTCTGTTCCGCTTAACAGCTGACATTTCGGTCATAACTAGTTCTAGCAATAATGCTCATCTTTTTCTTTTCTTTTTCGGTCTTTTTTCCTTTGTGATTTCTTTCCCCTCTTTGTATTTTCACATCGAGAATATCTTGTTCGACTTTTTAAAAATGATTTTCATCCTGGATTTGAACGGAGCGTTGAATTAAAGGCAAACATAACAAAATAGAGGTGGATTGAAAAAAATCGATAAAATTTAATGTCCTTACGAAGAATGAGTATTCAATAGTTCAGTATTCAAAGTTCATTTTTCACTACGGAGCGCTAGAATATGGAGACAAACTGATGAACCCAATGATAATCTGATGTAAAGTTTTTACTTTGTTGTTTTAAGTAAAAGCTGCTAAACAATTTTACCAGGATCACTCGGATTGATACGCACAGTTTGTTTGAATATACCAGACTGCCTTGGAGAGCTCGATCTCATTTCCAGCTGCTTCCAGGTTTCCACGGTAAAATTCCATGAGGAGTGAGTAGCAAATGGATTCTCATATTTTAAGACTAGGAGCTTCAGACTTCTTTGCTACCATTTCGCCAATATCTAAGAGATCGACAACGTTTTTGACCTGGTGATATGGATAACGCCTCAATGATGCACAACTCAGTTCAAAATTTGACATGAGTTTCGCCGAAAATACTGGTACCCTAAATAAATGACTAGCCTTTAACCTTTACGACGGCCTCTCTCTCAAGGCTTGCAATAGAAATTTGCGTTTCGAGAACACTATCCCAATCACGAGGATGACCTAGCCGAAAACTTCGCACTACTTGTGAAAGATGTTAATAAGTGTGCCAAATGAGCCTTATTCCATGTATCAGGATCGCAAATTCATTACTTTCATTGAGTTACTGGAAAGAAGAATGGTGTTGTAGTTTTCGCTGCTAAATTAAATAAAATGGACGAATTTGGATCAGAGCTAAGGAGTTGAAGAAAACCATTCATATTCCTTGCAACTCACCTGAATAACATTTCTCCAAAAGGGGCAAAAATTCTGAGCGGTCAAGAACCATGTCTACATTTTCCCCAAAAAGGTTAACAAGGCCAGTTTTTTAAATGCGTAACTCCAACTATTAGACATCGCGGAATTTTGATGAAGTAAGGCGAAATAGGCATCATATGTGTCCAGAATTTCTAACTGATCGATATGGTAAATGTCTACTTCATGTACCGCATTATCTCTGCCCTTATAGGAAGAAATAATTGAGATACATACAATCCTTTAACGTATGTCTACAAACGATTGGAGTCGATCTACATGAGAACTCTGCTCGGCTGATATTGTTATGACACCACTACCATACGAGTTTCTTACTGAACCTGACAGGAGTGTCCTATCATTTGGTCCCTGGACAACGGCACAAACCAATTAAGGAAATAACAGAAGGGAGTTCTACTTGTGGAAAACACATTCTCGACAGAATAAATGGGTAAGAGGAACTCTCCAATTTCGAAGACCACATCTGCCGTATGACTGTGGCGTTCAATGAAAACTAGCAAGCACTTGAAGCAAAGATTGCGCACGCCATGGCAAACGGCATAAACGGCCTTCAAACCTTTTAAAAGCTAACGACCGGCCAGTGGAATCGGATTTATGTGTTCTAATAAGTCGGTTCTTGCACCCTTGAACTATGAATCTGAGGCATAAGCTAACAATTCAACAACGTTGAGAACTCTGGGTGCTACTCATTGTGCTCTTTGACAATGCGTTTTGAAATCAATACTAATATTCAAATTCTGCTGCTCACAGTGTTCAGCTTTCGTCTTAGAAGGCTGCAAATTATGAGTTGCATGGTGACGCTGGGACTCCTGTAGAGCAGTGGGTACAGATACCTTGCGATGCACACGTGGGCCGTTGCTTCGATCTCGCGCCCTTAAATAACCAGATCCCTATGCTTCTGGTGGGGCGGAATTTTAGCAAGAGTCTCAACGACAGAAATTCTGTATAGGTATATCAGTAGGCTTCATTGTCCTTGTATAGACCAAGTACGCACCTCTAGGATGCTACGAATGGAGTTAAATGCCTGTTGCATCGTTAAAGGATTGATCAACTTCAAAGAAGGCCACTATCACAGACAGTGATTTCAATAGAACGAACCGAAAAAGAATATACCGGGTCAAGAGAGACTCAAAGAATCCAGAACGCTAAAAATAAGTTAATAGACACAAATGAACTCTAGAAAAAGCGCTTACAAAATGTGGGTGTGATTGTACAAATGGACATAAAGTTTCCTGTATTCTAAAAGAAAAATACCGAGAGACCTTTTTCAATATGAACCCTGTTAATTTAAGAATCATTCTGGTATTTTAGTTATAAAGATAGGTAAATACGAAGAGTATATTTCAGTACCCAATACATAGCGACATCTACGATGATTCAGGACCAGCGATTCTTCTCGACTGTCCTGCAGAACTGACAACGTTACAAGGTAACCGCAATCGTTGAAATATTGCCTTTTATTGTTTTTGTTAAAATCGTAAGGATAAAAAAGATGAAAAGGTGATTAACTTCGAAGAAGGTGAACAGTTCTTGGTTGGAACCAATAAATATGCTTCTTAACAAATAAACTTTAAGCATCACCTAATATTTTCTTCAATATAGTTTTTTTCTAACAGTAGTAAACGGGGCGTGTGTGGCGCAGGGTCGGAAGTGTCGTGCAACGCGCACGCGGAATCGATCCTCACGCCCATGGCCCACCAAACCTTCCATCCCTCCGGTGTAGGCAAATTGGTACCAAACTTGTCTGGGAGGATAACAGCACTGGCTCAACACATCGGTACGCCACTGCGAGTCATTCTAAAGGCCAGATATGCTTTTAATCACTTCTAACAATGCTTAATGAAGGCGAATGCATGGTGCATCCCTCAGAGACTGATCAACGCCGAGAGCTTTGTCCTTTTTTTTAACAGTAGTAAATCTACTTTGCTATTTCTCTAGTCGAAAGTGTTGGTGTTATTTTTTAATCACTAACAGTTGGAAAAGAAAAGAAAAATTCTGCTCAATGTAAACTGGATTGAGGTGCCTCACAATGGACACAGGGCAATTGGCTTGATTTCTCGTACTGGATTAAGCAAGTGTTACATATTTTTGGGTGTCGGTATTTTAGCACCAGTCTTGTCTCAGATGATAAAAATGGTTTCCATATACTAATAGACTCTTGCATTTTACCAATTATCATTGTAGACCAAATATGTGTTCAAGCACCTCCAAGGTGTTTTATGGAGTCGAAGGGATGACGCTTCCCTTATGGAGTAATCAGAGACATACGCGTTATCCTTTTGTCCTCCCATATATCAAAATTTTTACTTCTTATAAATAGCAACTGAAGTTCTTTGTAAGAGATAGTCAGTGTCTTTCTATATTTTAGGTACCTTATGTTGCGATGGAACGCTGCAGTATGAAATGAATCGCGTCATTGACGAAACCGTCATAAATCAATCTTTTGTTCAACGGGATCGCAACGCACTATCCAGGGTAATTGTGCTTTTTGTAGAATCTTTACTGCTTTTTTACAATCCATTCAGTCAATGAATTTTTGAAATTTCGGTTGCTAATCACGTAAAATTGTCGTTAAAGGCCGTTTTACGTAATGTGCAACGACGTTTTGGCACAACATTCGAGACGATTGCTTCAAACGGTGATTTCGCTTGGAGAACTAATCTCTACAACGAAAATACGTGTAAATTTCAAGCCAATGGGTACCATACTTTGACTTTCGAGTCAAGTAAAGAGGTACTGAACACATTTTTTTTCTAATATCGAGCAATGTGAAAGTTTTCGCTACTCAAATACGTCGCTAAACTTTTACTAAATACTGTGATATTCTCCGCCTCAATCGGCAAATAATGAACTTTTCTAAGTTAGGCACAGCGAATATTTCATCACTTATATACTAGTAATATACTACACGTTTCCCAAAATTCTCGCTCGCGTACTGTTTAAGGTTAGTGCAGTCATTTCAGCCGCCACCTCCATCGGATTTCATCGACATGCCATTGGTAAGATTCCTGAAGAGTTCGGATTGATATAACAGGTTCGTGTTCAGTTGAAAACAGAAAACGTATCATTGCAGCCAAGTGTTAGCGAACTAGGAGAACTACCAGAGCAGCCAGAACTTCCACCACCAGAAGTGCTACCACCACAAGTGCCACTGCCACAAGCGCCGCCACCACAACCACCACAAGTACCGCTACAACCACCACCACAACCTTCTCCACCTGTTCAGCCGAGTTTCGTTGCTTTTCAACAAGTTCCTCAAGCCGGTTATGGAGGTTCTAGAGCACTAGGACTAGCGGCAGTAGGAGCAGGAGGAGGTAAAACAGAATTCTTTGTTTGTTAAAAAGAGATATTTAGTACGATTGTGTTTTTTTCGTTTTCTTTTACCTGAACTTTGGAGGTGCATGTTTCTCAACCGATACATGGGTGACCGTCCCAGGTGGCAAAAAACGCATGGATCAGCTCAAAGCCGGCGATTTCGTCCTAACAGCTAATTTAACAACGGTATGCTTTAAATAGCTTTCCATCTGATTCCATATTCATTGCATTGACGTACGCATGTAGTCATGGATTGATTTATTCTCGTATATGTCTAATGGAAGATCCAAAATCTTTTGTCTCTCCTCTCTAACTCCATTTGCCTTCAGTACATTGTGGTCGGCTCTGTTCTGTTTGTCGTGGGTTTATCATTTTAAGCGTATATGCTTGAAATAATTCACCGTTGAATCATTCTTTGGTTTTTATTTAATCTAATCGTCAATGGACCTCGTTCAGCGCAGTGGTAATAGGTGCCATGCAACACACACGCCGGCGTTGTTTTAATCGAGCAACCTCGGGTTCACCAAAATTTCCATTTCTTCAGGATCGGCGATTTGGTATCAACCTTATCTGGAAAGTTAACAGCACTGACTTGATGCATCTGTAGGCCACCACAAATCACTGCACCGGCCAGATATTCATTCAGTCACCTCTGCAATGCTTAGTAGAGTAACGTGCATGGGGCATCCTTCAAAGTTTTATCAACGCCGTTAGCCTCATTCTTTTATCTTTTAACCTTCAACATGGAATAGTCATCAAATTGTCAGATGTTGCTGGTTGTCGTAAACAAAAAGAGCGGATATTGAATAATTTAGCTGTATCACCTAGAATTTTGTTAATTTTTGATTAAATCGAACAAATATCAGCAGTAGACTCATTCATCAACCCAGCTTGCCGGATCTGCGCTCATTTTTATTGTTCATGGCCATGAAGTAACTTTGCTGTGCAGATGTGGCTATAATGACCGGTAACTCGTGCGCGTTTGTCACGCAGTATTCTACATGATGAAGATACATTTATTCTTCCGTGGCGAAGATGGGTTTGCAAAAACTGGCGTTTACTCGATCAATAAAGTATTTTTGTGGTTCAGAACTACTCTGATCTGTCGTATTAATCTTATGTATGATTTCCACACAGTGTTTGTTCAGTTTTGAGCATTTTCTTGTTTAAAACTTCTAGAAAATTCACTGTGGAAATCATTTTTTTGTAATTTCCAACGGAAGAGCGTCATCCACAAGCACAAACGATACAACTTTAATGATGCTGAGATATTTGCGAAGCTCCGGACCGCAGGTGTATGCAGTAGGGAACGAACGCGGTATTGTTCTTTCCGGGGAGTAACCCGTTCACCACCATACCATCCTGGTCCTTCGTTTCGCCTGTCTCTCAGCTAGTTCTATCGTTCTTTTGCCATCAGCAATCATCCGTCAGCGGGATTGATGTGAGGAGTCCGAATCGGCAACGAACCCAGTTAAGCTGAGGATGCGGTTATAATCACAATTTTAACTTATTATTTACTGCCTACTCCTTTTAACGGCAAGGTATATATTGCGAAATATAACTGTTATTATTACTGCAGCCTCAGCTTAACTGGGTTCGTTGCCGATTTGGGCTCCCTAGATCAATCCCGCTGGCGGGTGATTGCTGATGGCAAAAATCGATAGAACTAACTGAGGAACAGGCGAAACGAAGGACCCGCATGGTGTGGTGGTGAACGCGTTACAGCCGGGAAGGACAATTGCGCGTTCGTTCCCCACCATAGACACCTGCGGTCCAGAGTTTTGCAAATATTTCAGCAACGTTGTGGTTGTATTTCGCTTAGTACTCTGTCGCGAAATTATAGTAGGCATAAAATAAAAGAGTATAACGCATTAAATAATAAGTTAAAACAAACGACACACTTTAGTGGCCTTGGGGAATCCATCATGCTCACTTGCTTTCGTATTTGAAATATATGATTAATAAACAGTAAAACGAAGGAAGTAGGCTTCAGAAAAGCAGAATTTATTCCTGGTGAATTACGGGAACGCCTATCCCGTAGGCAGTAATTCGGATATCTTAATAGTTTTATTGATTGAAATTGAAAGTGGCCATTGTTTTCGTACCAAGTGACTCCTAATGAACTCAAGAAAGTAGTAAGTAACCTGTTTATTTGAGAAAAGTCGTCGAGATCTTTCAATTAAGACCACCAGTGAAGTTAGTAATGACATAACCATCCATATGAAATAACCGTAATGTTACTGTGATATTTACAAAACTCCAGACCGGTGGTATCCGGAAAGGGTAATAGTGTGTTCGATCCCCACCGCAGAGACCACCGGTTCGGAGTTTTGCATGCAAATATCTCAACAGCATTACGGTTATATTTCACATAATACCCTGCCATTAAAAATTAGTGGGCAGCAGATAAAAACTGACGACATAGTGATGACACAGTTTATCTGTTCTATGCAGTACGTTTATTCGTTATGTGATGTCATTTATTAATTGAAGTGGATTCCCTTCATTCTTCTTTTTACACTAACACTTAACCCTGTTATTCCAGGCATACTATACGCCAGTATCATTGTGGATTCATCGTGAACCAAATGTCGTGACAAAATTCGTGACTATCATGACCGACTACGGAAAAATGTTAGCACTAACACCACGTCATCTTATCTTCCGAAATAAGTGTGGCGGTTGGTTTTTATAATTTGTTAAAACCACCTCAATTTGGTGTTATTGAAAATTGTATGCACCTAGCGATATGCAACAGAATGCAATACAACACAAATTGTATTTGTCGGCTTTTGACTTTTCTCAATCGATATTTTATGTGCTCTTGGCACCAAGTTTCGAACAGTGAGTGTTCTAAGTAAATTCAAAATAGCTCTCATTCAGATCCAGTTATCAATAACATTAGTTCGATACTGGTCTAAAATTTGACTGTGACTAATATTCTACTGGGCGGACACCATTTCACCACTTCACGACACCTGAGATAACCATATCGGTCTCTATTCATCGGTATGATCAATGGCAGTCAGGGACACTTGTGTATCGAGTGGAGGTTTCCTGTCTTGACAGTAGCTTTGCCCCAAAGCTGCGGAGAATCTTGGCAATGATTTGGTTTGGGATATGCCTTCCGGATTCAAATATGGGCCAATTCCTCGTATCGAGTAACTCTTTGCACCATCAACCTACTTCTTGAACACTGCTATTCGACACCCAGGAACACTTTGTAGTCATTCCACGATTGCAGGCCATTCAGGAAGGAAAAAAGACCTGGTTTTGACAACACTCGCAGCAATTATTCGTGAGGAAATTGGGACGTGGGTTGTTTAACTAATATTATTTTCAGAATATTACGACGATCGAGCAGATGAATTACCGCCGAATAGTCAAGCTGTTTATGCCGAAGAATTGGAAGTTGGGGACTGTGTGTACCTGCTCTATAAGGTAAATTGTTTTATCGCCAGTATATTAAAAAAAATCGGGTTCAAAACACCTGAGAGTTATCGTTTTCTCGTAAACACCATTAGGGGCGCTTGTAACCTAGACCCTAACGAGTACCCGCCGGTACTATGGAAAAGGCAGAATACTGCCAAATTTGTCTGCCATGGTAGAAACATGGGTTGATGCATAGGTAGGAACTCACAACTCGCTGAAAGGGATAGATCTGCATTCAATCAGCTCTAACGCTGCAGTGCATGGTACATACCTCAGAGATTGCCTAACATCGAACGCCTTATCCTTTACCCGTTAAGCACTACTACCTTTAACCGTTTTGTATTCATGCATTCGTAATTTCTTCTTCAGTCTCCCCAATTCCAGTCCTTTCTCTTTCAAGGAAAGAACTTGAAAAAGGGTCAAGACCCAATGAAATGACGAAACAACACCACCCATATTTCCTGCCGAAAAACACCTGTCGTTTTAGGTTTCCCAAGCAAAAAAACGAATTGTAGCTACTGGTATAGCTTTAGCAGTTAAGGTTCCTTTGATATTTGGAAGAGTTGTGTGGAGATCTACAAGTGATAGGACGTTATTTTATGGTTGAAAATCCTTGTGTACTACGTAGTTCCGAGATTCTGTGCTAGAGCGTACGTAGATCACCAGCCATCGCCATCCGAATATCGTCAACTTTATGTTTAACGTTTTGTTTTCTGCCTTCTATAATTTTCATGGAAGGTTACTAAGCGAAATACAACCACATGTTGCTGAGATATTTGCAAAACTCTGGACCGCAGGTGTCTATGATGGGGAACGAACGCGCTATTATCCTTTCCGGGGAGTAACGTGTTCACCACCACACCATGCAGGACCTTCGTTTCCATAGCTTAACTGGGTTCTATGCCGATTTGCGCTCCCCAGATCAACCCCGCTGACGGGTGATTGCTGTGGCAAAAAGATAGATAGAAATAGCTGAGAGACGTGCGAAACAAAGGACCCGCATGGT